AGGAGCTCGATCTCGAGGACTACCCCGGTTTCAGAAAAGGACGTTGCAAGGCCGCTTTTCTGACAAGCATGGGATGGGAATGAGCAAACAAATATATATATATATAATATGTGTATATATGTATATGCTACACCCTGAAAAATCTACAGTCTACCTTTCTTGCCTGTTTTGTGTGAGCATTGAAGTGTCTTCTAGGCATAAGGCCTGTAAGCAGAAGTGCAAGAGATGGAGTTTGTTGTGGCAGATGAAAACTACTTTTTTTGATGTGAGATGGGAATGCATGCTGGTGCCGCATTGTGGAGTACACGTTGACATAGGAATGCAAAAGCATAAAGCAGGTGCAGAGTTTGGCTGAATTTTCGTTCGCAAGCAAAGCACACAAGATCAGGCAACGATGTCAGACATGTAGGCACCCCAACAAATGTCTTCGCCGCGATGCCAATACTCATATTGGGCTGAGCGGATTTTCCGCAGCAAAGTGTGGGAACCGGCTTTGGTGTTTGGACCTTTGGCCAGACGTTCCTTGATGATATCCAGCATCTGTCGATGTGGTGAGTACCACATTTGACCTTGATGCGTTTGTTGCCACCCAGAAGTTTGTGGGTCTTTATCTAAACGAAGGTGGGCATAGTCCACTGCCACTTGCAGTTCTTCTTGATCCGCTTCCATTTCCAGCATTTCTTTGGACCTAGGATTTTCCTGGAACCAAGAACCAAGATTTTACAGAAAGTCCTGGCAAATCTGGGTTCTGATGATAATATGTGAGAAACTCATAGGAGGGTCTAACAAATCTTGAGAATTTAAAGACAATCCTAGGACTATATAATGATTTTGTCGATCGACATTTGTTGTCAGTATTACTTTAATATTTGTTTTTTGAACATAATCATCACTTGCAGTGCACGAGTGGGCTGGGTGGTCCCCCGGGGCAACCGGAAAAAAACACATAGATACATTCATTGAATATTTCTTTACACGATTTCAATCACATATACTCAATATAAATTTATGTATACTAGGTATCACAAATATCACGAAACACTACAATGGCCGGCAATTGCAAAATCAGCGCAACATACTGTGAAAAAAGTGCTTTGATAGAACAAGTAGGTACTGGGGGGTACCACACACACATATATATATATATATTATATAATGGACTTAACAAAAATAAGTCAAATTTGTTAGACTCTATTTTGGGGGTGGTACCACATATGTATATATATATACATACATCCCCGAGACAAACACATCCCTCAACAAAAAGTGCAGAAAACACTGCACATATAAACACACGATGCACGGTGGGTACCGGGGCATGTTTGAAGTGTGTGTGTGTGTTTTTTAATATTGTAGATAGATTACTAAATTCTTGCAGTCCCCAGTTCCCAACCTTTTGAGGCATATTCAGCGCCTTGTGCTATGCGGAACTTTCTGCACGCATCCCTGTGCCTTCCAGTTGCAGTATCAGCAATGGATGTGAACACAAAGCTTTGCAAATTAAGCAATTGTTCAATTGGAGGATCGGGATGTGTCAATTTGCTTGCGCTAGGAATGTTGAACTGAAAAGACGCGTTGCAGCATCAGGTCTGGCTCCGTGTATTTGTATGCATTTGTTGCCTTTGGAGAGTTTATCGCCCTGCTAATTGGTTTGTCCCTGGACGGCATGGGTCAGTGTCTAGTGCCCCCCTAAGGATTTCTGAAGAGTTTCATGGTCCAAGGAATGTGCTTGTGGACTACCATGTCGGTGCAGCGGTGAATATCGCCTCTTGTGCCCTTTACCTTGAGAAAACGTTTCTTTCTTAGAGATTTTGGCATCCTGGCAGGGCCTAGCAGGGTAAAGCAGGGCCTAGCAGTCAGAACGCACAGTACATGAAGCACATTAAGCACACGTCATTTCTATTGAACCAAGGATTTTAGCCTTTCTCCTGGTGTGTCCTGTCGCCCAAGGCTTCGCCTGATGTTCGGAGATGTATGTGTTTGGCTGCCCAGCACGCAGGCCGAAGTCCGGTGGTGGTGTTTATAGGTGTTCATCCTTCCAGGAAGCGAGGAGTCGTCAGTTTGACTGGCAAAGAGCTTGCTCATTTTCTAAGTCACCAGGAGTCCACAAAGCAAAACAGAAATCACCAACTCAAACAACAGTCTGAAAGTAAACCAGTTTCATTCATGAAAAGCTCGCATCGTACCTTTTGTGGTTACAAGGCTGTTGGTGTTTTCTTTCAAACATTGTTTCATCACAGCTTTCACATAGGTTTGGCAGGACCACCACTCTTCAAAGCCGAGTACAAGCCAAGATTGCAACAGCCTGACATTTCTACACGTCACACAAAACAACCCGTCGTCTCAGCTTTATGGAATGCACAGTCAATTGCCATTCCACCTCACCCCCGAATCAACCAATCTACCGATCTACCAGCAACAAACTGTGTACTTGACAGTAGTGGCAGCTGTCAGTGGTAGCTCTCAGGTTGTTTTGCTTCTCGCCATGGATCGATCGGAGCGTCGACGCATACACGGGCCCCTCCGGTGGTTCGACCGGGAAGGTCATCGGAATGCAGGAGTCAATCCCTACTCACACCAACCTCAAACAACTGACAGCGCCCAAAACTTCTGTTGACTCCTGCACGAAGCTGCGCACTGCTGATCCCCTGGGAACGGTCGTCTTTCCTCCTTTTGAGGTGTTCCTCTTCAGCAGCTATGCAAAACCAGCCCGACTTCAACATTGAAAATAGCGGCTCTGTCGAACCCTTGACTTTTGTCAAGCAATCTGCCACCATGGCAGGGTGATCAATCCACCGGATTTCTCCGTTCAAAGCTGTCAGCTCCTGGCGGATGATCTGAATTTCAATGGCAGTCCTTTTATCCTGCCCGCCTATTGTCTGCTTACTCAGGTAGTCGAACAGGCTCTTGGCGTCCACAATCGCCAGGCATTGCTGCAGCTCTCCATTCTCGCTCGTTGCCAGAGCTACCACATCTTCTTTGGCCAGGATGGCCGGCCAATCATACATGTTGAACTTTTCTTCCAGCAGCTCCCTGAACAACACCTTCATCCACAGAAGGTCGCCCATTCCTTTGGAGAGACTTTGAGTCTCTGCAGCTAAGGTAGAATTCACTACCCTTTGGAGTTTGGCGCTGCGCCACCAAAGCAAGTTTGTCTTCACCTTCAGGCCTTCCTTCAGCCCTTCTTCATGGGCGATGATCATCTGGCCTCCTTGAGAGTGGAATCCATCATTGCCAAACGAGGCATCCGTGATCACTGCCAGCTTCATCTCCTTCATCGGCTGAATCTTCAAGCTCAAATCTGAGCTTTTCTTCAGCTGCTTGATCACTTCGTTGAGGGTGTACAAGTCTTCCACTTTCATGGAAGTCAGCCTCGAGGACATAAGGCTGGAAGGTCCAGCTGCATCAGGCCTTCCCTCTTTGGATAGCCAGTTGAGAGAGCCACACACGGCCCTTGCCTGTGACCTTTCTTGTTCATTGACCTCCTCCTTTTTCACCTTCTTTCTTTCAGGAGCTATCGGAATCTCTTCCAACCTTTCTTCAATGAACTTCTTCATGTCGACGTAGAGAGTTCCTTCTTCATCCTGCTTCAACCTTCTTCCGTTGAAGCTCGCGCCTTCTTTCTCCTCCTTCAAGTCCACCCATTTGCCAAAGGTGAACTGTTCTCGAAGCTCCTTCGTTTTTGGTGAAAGACTCCTTTTCCGCAGGCTAGGATGTCATCGACCTCGATGGCCAGGAGTCCAATCAACTGTCCTTCTTCGTACAGTTGTAAATGCAAGGGTCCAGTCGGCTCTCTTTGAACCCTAGCTTCTTCAAGGCCTTGAGCAAGGTCTTCCTCCAATGAACAGGTGCATCAACTAGCCCGTAGCATCCAGCTATGATCTTGCAGATCTGATCTTCATGCAGACCCGAGATGCCTTCAGCGGGTTGCTTGAAGTATAGGGGACCATTGATCCTTTCCAAAGGATCACTTTGGCAAAATGCACTTTTCAGGTCTCCTATGCTCACCGTCATCCCAGCGTTGATCGCTATCTGCAACATGACATTCAAGTTCATGGTGTTCACCGTGGGACTGAATCTTTCAAGTTCCAGGATGTCCGGATCCTTATCGCCTCGAATGCACAGGCGGCTTTTCTTGGAGGGAGGCACTCCTGGTTGTTCTGCTGGCTTATACCTTCGAGCCATTCTCGAAGGTAGGATTCTGTTTTCTTCTTCTTCTTTGAGGGCAGCGCGGACTCTCCTTGATTCTTCTGGACTGAGTACTTGGATGGCTTGGCTTCGCTGGATCTTCTCGAACTCTGATTTGTCCTCCATTCTCCACTCTTCAAGATCTTTGTTGTCTTCTTTACTCAAATCCACTTCTTGGCTCAAGTTTCCTCCTCCTTGGCTGGTGGGAGTGGAGCTGACCCAAACTTCCAGCTTTTGAAGCTGCCTCAATCCACCTTCTTCTTCTTTCAGCGAAAACTCTGTGCAGCCTTTCCACCAGAACCCTGATGGTGTTCTTCCTTCCTTCTTGTCTTCTTTCCATTCTTCTCCTTCTTCTATCTTCACTTCACTTTCATCTGCCTTCTTCATCGTGGTCTTTCTGCTCCCTAGCTTGCTGGGGTGGATTGGCACTCCTTGCATGCCCAATGGACTGAACAGCGACTTTCGGCGCTGGATGTGGTGTCTCCGAGCAAACCATTCAACTCATCCACTTCCCAGTAGTCTTTAGTAGGCTTCTTGGAGATCTTCTTCAGCCTTTCTTGTCTTTCGAAAAGCTTCTCTTCTTCCATCTCAGATTCATCCACTGCGAGGAACATCCCTTTCTTTCAGTTGCCTCCATCTTACTGGACCTCCAGTTGGTGGAAGTCCGTCGAGGGTTCTTGCTCTTTGGACGGATTCGACCATACTTCTTCTGAAGGCTTCGCTGACTTCTTCTGCTCTTGCTTCTCTTGCTTTCCTTCCTTCTGCCTCTTTATCTGAGCTCCTTACTTCTTCTTCCTCTTCTGGTTCTTCTTTTATGGAGCTTGTTCCTTCAGCTCTTCCAGCTTGAACTCCTCTTTCATCTTCTCCGACTTGAGTAGGAGAATATTCTTCCATTCCTCTTCCTTCCTCTTCTTCTCTTCTTGGCCTTCTCCTATTCGCTTCTTCTTCTTCTTCTTCTGCGGCTCCTTCTTCTCTTGGTCGCTTTCGGAATGTGCCTTCTGCATCTTCTCCTTCATCTTCTTCAGGCCATGCTTCTCCTCGAAGGTCTTTGTATCCTTTTCTGTTTGATGACCTTTTGAAATCTTCTATCAACTCTTTGCAACTTCTCATGGCTTCTTCGATGCCTTGTTGCTCGATGTTGATGGCCCTTCTGCATTGTTCTCTAGCGACCCTCCATAGTTCTCCAAACATGGAGATCCACAAGCTTGCACCGTCCACTGCTATCAGTGTTCCAGGGCCAACCCAGGTAGCCTTGTTTGGAGTCCTCTCGTGGCTTGGGAGAGATCCTTCATGTTTCCTCTTCTTCGCTCTGGGCACCCGGTACACATAGACGTAGTCACCTGCAGTGAACTCTTGAGGAACTCTCGTTCTTCCTTGCTCCACTCTCTTTAGTGCTTCCTTTGCGTTGTGCTCGATGAATGCCTTTTGAGCAATTCTTCTCATCTCATGCATTCTTTCCATGTCATCAACCACTGCTCCATTCATCAAACCCGGGTCAATCACATCGTCTCCGAGCAAGTTGCTGGGAACTCTTGGCCATTGACCGATTTGTCTTTGCACTGGGCTGAAGCCACTTCTGTTGCTGAACCTGTTCTTTGTCATCTCCACTTCCTGCATCAACAACTGTAGTTCTTGAGATGAGGTGATCACTGCTTCTTCTCTTGCTTTCTCCAGCAACTCTTTATAGTGAGCCCCGTGCCTTTCTGTTCTTCCGTTTTGCCATGGAGCTCGAGCGGCAGTAGTCTGTGTGACGATCCCATGGGATACGGCCATCTGCATGAACTGTGAAGAGAATTCTTTTCCAGCATCGGCCACTAGAACCTCTGGCAAACCGAAGGTTCTTCCCCATGTAGACCACAAAGTGCTCCAGATCGTGCTGGGTTGTTTGTCGGCAACTCTTTCCACCATCTGGTAGTTGCTCCCCCAATCTACCATCGAAAGAGCAGGGAACAACCTTTCTCCTCCAACTTCTGGCAAAAAGATCAGGTCAATGCCCAACACCCTTCCAGGCTGGTAAGTCCTGGGTATTGCAGCCGGTCTTGTGGCCTTGGGTTTCGCTCGAGCTTGACATGCTGGGCACACGAACTCTTGATATGCCCATCGAATGATTTCTCCTCGAATTCGAGCGGCTCTCATGAAACGGACAAATTCAGCCCTTTGCGGATGTCCGAGGCCTTTGTGCAGCTTCAGAACAGAGCGTTTCTCTTCTTCGGTGACTTGATATCTTTGCTCCTTTTCTCCTCGATTTTCTTTCTTCATCTCCTCCTCCATTTGCCTTTCAAGAGCTTCTTCCAAGTCTCCACCTTCTTCTTCTTCATCTTCTTCTTCTTCTTGCATGAACGCTTCTTGACTTCCTTCTTCTTCTTCATCCACTCGAATCTGCTTCCTTAGTCCTCGGAGCACTTCTATGCAGAACTCCTGTGGGTACTTTTGGGCTTTCTTTGGAAGTCCACATAGTGTTGGGACATGGACATGCTTCTTGTTACATCTTCGTTCAAGTCTTTTCCTCATCTCCTTTGAGTTGATCATCAGCTTGGTTGGCTTCTTGTTGAGTCCCATGCCATTCACATTCAGCCCGAACATGCACATGTCCGTGGTGATGATTTCCACGCCTTCCAGCTCTTCTACTTTCTTCGCAACTTCTTCTTTCCATGACACGGCTTGGGCTGGATGTTCGAAGAGAAAGTACCTCCCTCTTTGATGCTGCCACTTGGCAATGGCCATGGCCAAACTCAAATGCTCCATGCCGGTTTTGATCAACATTGCAGCATTCTCCATCTTCATCTTGGGGAAGTTCAGGAACTGGAGGGCTGAGAAGGCAGTACAAGGAGGACATAGGATGATCAGCCACGGATCTTCTTCCTTCAATTTCCTCCACATCTTCTTTCTTTCTTCTGCCTTGGATAGGTCCCAACCAGTTTCAAGATCGAAAGAACTTCCTTGGGACAGTCCCACCTTTGGTGCTTGAAGAGCTATTCTTGGCGGAGAGAAGACTTCACACACCTTGAGGATGTTCTTCATGACTTCCTTTCTTTGCTTGTGGTTGAATTGGGTCTCCTTGTCAATGCCGAAGAAGTCTTCTATCCAAGTCCTTGGTTTGAGCTCAGTCTGCACTCGAGTCCTCTTTTGCTCTAGTAGAGGGACCAGTCCCTCTCTTTCTTCCCATCTTCCTTCTTCGACCTCCACTTGGAACCTTCTATCGGCGATGAGGTGCGGGTGCCTGGAGGTTTGCATCTTCCTCAACACTTGTCTTCCCTTCTCAGTGTGGGCTTCAGCCCACTCCTCCTTCAGTCGCTGTCCGGAATTGGAATGAATTCCGCTTCCCCCGCACTCCTCCTTGATGCTGTCCTTGGACTTTTGCTCCTCTTCCGGCTGCTCACTGCAGCAAAGCTCATCTCTGAAGGACTGGTCTTCGGCCTGGTGTCGTCCCACTGAAAGAACTCGCATTGGCCGGTCTTGCACACCCAGAAGTGCCTCTCCTTCTCCTTGCTTCCTTCCTCCGGGAGTCTCCTCAGTTTGTGAGCAATCAACTGACAGTGGCACAGAGGTTCGCAGCCTAACGGTCCTTCCGTCTTCTTTGGTGCCTTGACTGGTTCTTGGCTGCTTTGACTCTTCTCCTCTAGCATCCTCTCCATCGCCTCCTTCTGGTTCACCACCGTGGACATCATCGCCTGCATCTGCACTTCCTTCTCCCTCATGGCCACTCTTTGCTTTTCGAACTCCTTCATCACCTCCATCTTCTCGGAAGCGGCCTGGGCTCTCTCTTCTCGCAAGAGCTGCATGATTGCCGCTCTCTGAGACTCGGTCTCCTTTCCCTTCTCTTCTTCCTTCTTCAAAGCGAGATTCGTCTTCGTTTGACTCAAGAGGCCCTGCTTCTGCTTCTTCAAATCCTCCTTGATCTCGGCGGCCTGCAGAGGGGATTCCCACCTGGAGTGACACATCTTGCAAGTCACATAGGAGGCCGTCTTGTTTCCTCCTCCCTTCAATTGGTGCTTTGGATGGATGCAGGTACTGGCTGACACGGAAGGCTTCTCCTTCGACTTGAGTGGTGCCAAAGGTTTGGCCGTGATGATGATCTTCGCGTACACGGCTTCCAAACTGTCTTCTTCCTGCTTGGACGGTGGCATAAATTGCTCCGAAGGTACAAGCGACGGCAGCCACTCTTTGACCAAAGCTTGCCTTTCGACGAACGCCATGATGATGAACAGCTTGTCCAGCAGCACCCTCCAATTCCTGAAAGCCCACTTGGGACGTCGTGCCTGTCCCTTCATGACCACGTCTGGCGGAGGGGTTCTCTGAGAGTCGCCCAGCAGCCGGCCCATGCGCTCCATCAGCTGCGACATCACGAGATGGAGAAGGTAGGAGCGAAGGTCTCTCCAAGACCTGGGAAGCTGCAGGCTTTGCTCGATCGAATTGAGCCAGCATGGCTTGAATTGTTGCTTGAAGTCGAAAATCATTCTCACAAAAAGGAGCTTGCTCAGGCACTTTGAAACCATCTTGATGAACATGACAAATGTCTATGACCACATGTCCGCTTGCCAACTCTTGCATGGGCAACTCAATGCCCTCATCCGTCAAAACAAACTTGTTCTGATTGAAATCAATGACCGCTTTGAGCTGCTTCATCAACTTAACCGGCAAAAGAAGTGGAACCTCTCCGGCTACGACGGTGACCTCCAAAAGACCATTGCACCCTCCAATGCCCATGGGGATCAAAGCAACTCCTACCACCTCAGCCCGACCTCCAACACCCTTTGCTATGGATTGTTTGGGGATCCATTTGATGCATAGTCCAAAATCTTGTAGTCGACGTTCTAGACGTTGAAGTGCTGGGAAACCTACTAGCCCACCTTCAGCAGCAGTGTCTACCACCCCAAACTCTGAACCTGTAGTGATGCCACAAAACGATACGGACGGCGGCTGTCGCTCCTTGTATTCGGACTCGGCTGAGATCTCCGCACCCAATTCGGTGCTCGCCTTCCGGCTTTCTACAAACTGTCTCAACCAAAAGGCACTTTCTTTCTGGCCGGTCGAGGTGAAAAAATCCTGGTCTGTCGACCCCTCTTGAGCTACAAAGAACCCTGTTCTGGTAGATGCGCTCGAGGAGCTGGGAGGTCCGGCTGGTCCACCAGCTTTGCCTTTGTCTGAAGGAGGGTTGGTGCACTCTCGACTGATGTGGCCAAGAGCGCCACATCTCCAACATCGTGTCCTGAGCTTGAGCTGTTCCACGTGCACCTTGAACTTGCCTTTTCCTTTTCCCTTTTGCCATCCTTTTTCACTTGACTTGCCCTTGAAGAAGTCCTTGTTGTAGAAAGCCCCTTCCATTGCGCTGATTCTTCAGCGCATCTCTGACTTCCCGGTAGCTCGCTAGAGCCTCGATCATCTCCTCTTCGGAGTAGGTCCCATCCAAGTCTCCTTCACCCACATAGATGAAGTCTTCGCTGTTGCCCTCTTCATCTTCAGCCTGGATGTAGGAGTCATTCGTGGCAAGGTCCTCGAAGTCCATCACATAGGTGCTTTTGCCGTTCTTGTCTTTCACCACTTTGTCCAACTTCCTGAGCGCTTTCACTATCGACACCTTGTCATACTTTCCATCGCACCAGGTGAGGAGCCTTTGCTCCTGGGGCTCACTCAAAGAAGCCTGTCGATACAAAATGTATCCAGTGGCTCCGTCTGGGAGATCTACTCCCTCTTTTCCCAGCCGGTTGAATGCCCGTTCCATTCTGGCCAGGTACTCGGGGAAGGTCTCGACGGCCTGACGAGGTTTGCCATAAACAGCAGCTTCAAAAGCCCTTGGCAGGCTCACCTCCAGGTGAGGAAGAAAGAAATCCCTCAGCCTGTTCATGATGTTCTTGACCCCATCTTCTGTGGCTATATCTTCAAATTCCATATCTTCTGTCGCCAGTTGAGCCATCCCAGAAAGAGCTCTATGCAACTTCGCGCCCTGCTTCCTTTTGGGAATGTCGGTCTCGAAGCACCACAGCTTGACATTCTTCTCGAATGTCTTGAAAGTTCCCTCGGGGTCCACACCATCATAGAAAGGTGGAGGATCGCGATCCCGCGGTCCATCCCTTTCTCTTTCTCTCTCTTCTCCTGGGTCTTGGGTCCCAGCAGCAGCAGCAGCATAGCTTCTCTGACTCCTCGGCGGCCGTCTGGTCTCTCCCTCGTCCTCAGCGGTGTTCGGCATGGTCCCTGGAGCGTTCCCGAGCTCCGCTACCACTGACAGTAGTGGCAGCTGTCAGTGGTAGCTCTCAGGTTGTTTTGCTTCTCGCCATGGATCGATCGGAGCGTCGACGCATACACGGGCCCCTCCGGTGGTTCGACCGGGAAGGTCATCGGAATGCAGGAGTCAATCCCTACTCACACCAACCTCAAACAACTGACAGTACTGGAGAACCAGCCACAGAGCCACAGTCCGAAAAATGTCAAAAGATACGGTGGTCTAGTTGTGACCAACCCACAGTACGTTTTTCGGCACCAGTCATCATTCGCGGGGAGACGCTTCGGGTACGCTCTACAGGTCATATCACTTCTGATGGTGCTGCTGCTGACGTGTGCCTTCGGAACAAATTGTGCAGGGATTCTGAGGGGCAGGACTACTTTCACTTTTTTCCACATTCTCTTGAAGGAATTTGGCTCTTCCACTTAGTGCACTTACACCATGTTTCTCTGCAAGTGCTCTGCAGAGTTTGCAAGGCATTCTGTCAGTCGGTGTGGAAAATGGCCTGAAGCGAGTCAATGGATTATTGGTTTTTGGAGTCTCGACTGTATGGCAGTCAATGGACGAACTCCTTTCAGGCAGTTTTCATAGCGTGAAGACGTGCCGATGTTTTGCGAGAAACAAAGCAGCTACGACTCGACGGTTTTTTCTCGACTTGTGCTTTGTCTACTGTAATTGCTAAGGGAAGGTGGGCATTGTGCTCTTAGTTATCGTTGTCGGGTGCACGAAGGCCGGCGGAGCAAAATAAAATTGCCCACTGAACGATAAATATCGATCAGTCAGTGCTGTTGTTGACCTGCAGGTGCAACCCACCAATCTCTCCCCTGTTTTCCCGCGTCCTGGCTTTAATTCAAACTTTTCGCATGCGGCTGGGAGTGAGTGTAGGTGGATGATATGGTAGGTGAAACGAATTCTTGAGAACAAGAAAGGTTAATAGCCGTGGTGGTTTCTTGCTCTCCGGGATTGCCGACCCAGCGCAACTATGTCTTCCTCAGGTTTGGTGTGGGGCCTGTGCTGAGCATGTGGGGAGCTGTGTTCATAGTATGGCAGATCGCAATCTGACCGTTGACAGTAACGTGTACATTGTGAAGATTTCTGGAGGTCAGCGACTTGTTCATTTTCCTTCATAGGCCACGCACGCATTGCATGGATGATGGATGACAGTTTGTAGTTTCGGCGTTTGCGCCAATGGTTCATATCCTTCCCTGTTTGTCTTTGCCTTTGGCACAAGTGTTGCTTTCCAAGTTTGCTTTGCCTTCCAGGATTTGGAACTGTAACCAATGCGGCAGAGGAGTGTATTAATCCTCACAGAGACTTGCCAATCGGAATCACACTTTCGCTCCTCATTTGTGCCTTGTTTGCTTGGGCATCCATATAATTTGTTAAGTATCTTAGAGTCTCAGAGGAGGGGGCTTCGCCATTTCGCTTCCAATTATATAGATCTCAGGAGTAGACACGGTAGACATGTAACGTAGGTGAGCTTGGAAATAGGTGACGCAAGCGCGACAAAAGCTTTCGCACTCTCTTGGACCTAAAGAAGGATAATACTATTAGGCCATTCTTGCTCTTAGACGTTGTTTTACAAACAGATAGCAGAGTCCAAGAAGAGTAGGGCCCCTGGCCTCAAGCAATGGAGTGACGTCGTGCCAAGATAACAGGCTTTTCAGCATGGGTATCCCCAGAATTCCCTGTGCACAGCCGTAATTCATCAGCATCCGAGGTGCCTTGTTGCACCTCGGCGTGACCAGTCTTCAGAATATGTGTTGCAAAAATGAGATACACAGACACATGCTGGAAAGTGTGGGGGACGACTTGGTTTTTGCATATTGTAAGGGCTCCGCCCTGGTGCCGCCGACCCCTTTTTTGTGAGACAAGGCAGCATGGCTAGGAAGGCAACAACCGAAGTTGGACATAGTTCTGTTGTGGACACCAATGGTGGTGGTCGTGGACCTAAGACAGAACAACTGCTTATATAAAGGAGCGACCAAATGGCCTCAGGGGACTGTGGGTCCCAGAGGCTCCCTCCCAAGGCTCCCGGAAGCGTTTGAAGCTAAAATGCGTGACGTCGCCTGGCGCGTTGCCTTCGGAATCCTAAAGAAAAGAGGCGCAGGCCTAGGTGGCAGGTTCCAGAGGCTCGGTTCTAAGGCTGCAGTGCACGGGCTGCACGTTCCAGAGGCTCCCTCCCCACGCTCCCGCCTGACGCAGGCAATGCTGCGGTGCAGGAGTAGGCCAAAGGCGCCGGGAAGCTTTTGAAGGCGCCTGGACGTTGCCTTCGGGACCCTAAAGAAAAGAGGTGCAGGCCGAGGTGGCAGGTTCCAGAGGCTCAGTTCTAAGGCTGCAGCGCATGGGCTGCACGTTCCAGAGGCTCCCTCCCCAGACTCCCGCCTGACGCAAAGGCTGCGGTGCAGGAGTAGGCCAAACGTGCGCTTGGGGCCTAAGCCAAAGGTGCCGGGAAGGGTTTGAAGGTGCCGGGAAGGCGCCTGGCGCGTTGCCTTCGGGACGCTAAAGAAAAGAGGCGCAGGCCGAGGTGGCAGGTTCCAGAGGCTCAGTTCCAAGGCTGCAGTCCACAGGCTGCACGTTCCAGAGGCTCTCTCAAGGCTCCCGCCTGACGCAGGCAAGGCTGCAGTGCAGGAGTAGGCAGCGGAGCCACGGCAAAACGCTCTGGATCTGCTTGGCCTCGGCCACAAGGGCTCCACGGCGTGACGGAACTCGTTGAATGCGAGCGGACGCACGACGTGTGGTTGCAGACACTTCAGAACGAGATTCGCAACGGGACATTGTCCCCGACAAACCACGCTTTCCTGCATGGAGCTGAGACGGATGTGCCAGGGAGTTGGAATGGACAGGGACTAGATTGTGGCTGCGCAACCTGCCACGCCTTGATGACAGGAAAGGCAACGCCGGCGAAAATTCGCGAGGGAGAGCGCGGTGCATGTAAGCGGGAGCGTGCGTCCAAGGTGCGGGTAGTAGATGCGGGGGCTCGACCATCGCACGTATTTTCGCAACCAACGCAATAAAATATCACGTGAACAAACTGCGTGCGAAAGATTGGGCTGCTGCCGCCGGGCAGCAACTGCACTACGCCATCGCAAAGGACTGCATTTCCAGCGCGGCGCTACGCGAGAAACCCGACTTGGCCAAAGAAAGTTGGCGTGGCTGCAAAGACATGACCAGGACTGTGGGTCGTTGTATGGGGTGTTACTCCTTTGCGTTGGACTGCCGGTGACGGCCACGGACCACTTAGATCGTCGCCGCGGCATTCTCCGCGGGTGTCCGGGGGAAGTGGTTGGTTGGGCCTGGCCAAAGGAAGCTTCAGACCTAAAGAGCCAAGAAAAAACAAAGATTTGGAACGAATTGCCTGGTTGTATTATGGTCCGATTTCACACCAAAGACACTTGGCGCGTGGAGGGGATTCTGGAAGACAATGTGTATCCAGTACCTGCGCAAAAGAAACCATGGTACTTGGACAAAGGGCGGCGGCGCCCGGTGCTACGCGTGACACGCAAGCAATTCCCACTGGCACCCGCCTTTGCGACGACTGCCCACGCCGCTCAAGGACAGACTTGTCCGGAGGGAGTGGTCGCAGACCTGCAGATCGGCGAAGCCGGAGACCCCTTGACAGTATACATTGCGATTACACGTGTCCGGGACCGGCAAGGTTTGTTTATTTACCGCCCCTTCGACGCGGCGCCGTTCCAAAGAGGAGCGAAGCTGGGGCGAGACCTGCTGCTTCGCTTCTGGAGAGGAGACACCATGGATTGGGCGGCGTTGCGGGCCAAGTACCGCGAAGAACGGCAATGTGCCGAGTGCAAAGAGCAGAAGCCTGCGTCCGGATACACGCTCGGGCGATGGAAACGCATGGACGCGGCAAGAATATGCAAAGAATGTCTCCAACGTCACGGGGCGATGATGCAGCCTTGGCAATGCATGGCCTGCTACATGTGGAAGCAAGAAGATGCATTTGTCGCCAAGTACCGGCGCGATGAAGCAGAATGCGCGAGGTGGATCCCGAGTATGCTTGGCTTGCACGAGCCAGGCCCATGGGCACGCAACGCGCCCGCGAGGCACGACGCAAAAGGCGAACGCATGTTTTGCAGTGCGGGGCCCCGAGACCCAGTTCAGAAGCCAGGAAAGCCAACCGCCAAAGCTTCCACGGGGCACGGCGGCAAAAGCCGTGGCCCGCCTGGCCGCCACGCGTGCCAAAGTAGAGCAGCGCAAGCATGAACGCATCATCGCGGAAGTCTTAGCAGAAATCAAACGTAAGCGCGCAGGGCCAGAACAGGCAAGGGAGGAACCGGTGAGGAAGCGTGGGAAACTGCCAGAGGGTCTCGATGGCCAAGGCAGCATGACTCTCGCTGGCCAAGGCACCAAGACATGCCAGTACATATGCCCGCACTGTAAGGCGACCGTGGAGAGCACGATAGCCAATGGACAAGTGGATCACCGAGCAGTGTGCGGCAGCCAGTTCTACGTCAGTGACGGAAAAGTCCAAGCAAAGAAACAGCATGAGTACACATGCCCGTTGCGGGGGCCTGGTCACAAGCAATGTTACGACGGGACAAATTAATCACCGGACAGTGTGCGGCAACCGGTTTTGCGTCAGGG